CACTTCCACCTTCGGCTGTTACGAACGATGCTGCTGTGAACGTCTGTGGACAGTTTTGTGTGGGTGTCGTTTTCATCCTCTCCATATCTAAGTAGGAGTGAAATTGCTCGGTCGCATGTTAACTCTATACTGAATCATTTAATGAGCCACCAAACTGTTTTCCAAGTAGCTGTGTCATTTTTACATTCCAAACAGAGTTCTAACTGCACATTCACACCAACACATTCTCCCTTTCAGATAAAAAGATTTTAAAAAATTATGGCCATCCTAATGCGTGTAAAGTGGGATCTCACGGCTTGGTTCACACTTTTTCAGGGTGTGCAGCACATTCTACACAGAGAACACATGCATGGAAGGACACCTGCTCAAATATTTGGTACTGATCAACTGAGTGACTAAAGCAGTCAGGAGACCAGTGACCTAGGTAAAGGATGACAAAATCTGAATTAAGGGATGTGCGCAGGATGCGCGAGATGTTTAGGAAGTGACAAGACCTGTGACTGAAGGGATACAGCTGGCTGGGCAGGGAAGGGAGCAGTGCTGGCTGGTGAGGGACACACTGCGAGAATGACCTCCCCCTCTGAAATCCCACCAGATGTCCGCCTGTTCGAGGGGGTCACCGGGAGGATGTGACCACAGGTTGGCCCTCGAGCTCTGTGGGCAACCGGAGGCTCTCATCCTCTGCCCTGACCTTTGCACGTGCACTCAGCTTGTCTTCCACACACTGGAAACCGCTCCGAGGACTCGGTCTGGGGGAGCCAGGCGTTGTCGAGGCCACATGCCTGGTGTGCGTGACTGGACCCCGTTCAGGCCTCTGTGTGAACTATTAAGGTTCTGGCGGGTGGGCGCAGAGACCTGCTGACCGAAGTCTTGTGCGCACTGGAGTTCGAAGACGACTGCTGTGAGGGGCAGGAAGGGGGGTCCTGAACAGACTCTGAATGGGCCGACCACGACATCTGGCCTGAAGTGCTCCACCAGAAGGAGAAACAGCACTTAACATTTCAAACTAGGCTCTCCGCCCCCCGTAGAAGAAAACTGCTCTGGCAACACTGCCTTGAAAAACAACTAAGGAAGGCGACTCCTCCTACACAGCAGAGTTGTTCAGAAAGAGCCACGCCATGCTGACAATGATCAGTTTTAACAGTGAAGGCTAAAGTGTTTTGGATAGGAGACAAGAATCAATTAAAGACGAGCTTGCAAATGACAGGGTGATGAACAGTGTGTCTTTAAAAGCACCAAACAATCTTAATTGAATGTTTAGTTTTTTCCTAACACTGTTTAATTTTTTTCCTGGCAGGGTACTCGCAATGCTATGCATGTAGTTTGTAAATGGAAATTATCCCAGTGGTTCTGGCATTTAGGGGAATCTTAGCCAGGCTGTGGGCGTGTGGGGAAAAAGGCAGCAGCTGGGTGAAAGCAGGGGCTCTCCATGATGGAGGAGGGGGTGGGGAAAGAGATACTTTGACCCCACAGGGTCTTTGGCAAGGTCTGAAGACATTTTTGGTCATCACTGGGGGGATGATACTGGCATCCGGTGGGTGCAGGCTGAGGTTATTGCTAAACATCCTATAATTCATCCTGCACCAAAGAACTCTCCAGGCCAAAATTCTGGGCTAGTGCTGAGGTCAGGGATGCCTGGGCTGCGGGATGAGGACCAGTCTCCAAGGCACCGAAGCACTCCTGGGCATCTAGGCACCTGCTGGGACCCATGGACGGTGCACCGCGACTCCAGCAGAGACAGCTGCAGGAAGCAGAGGGAGCCCCCGATACCTGCCCTAGGCTGTGTGCAACCTACTCTTCTTCCCCACTTTCCAACCTGTTCTTTATCACATGCTTGTGTTCACTTACTTGTTTCTAAACTGTCCTTTCACTTTCAAAGATAAAACTTTTTTTTTCATTTTTAGTAAATAAACATGATGACCTGGGCAAAAACGAAACAAAGCAGAGCTAGTGGTAGAACCTTAAAAATGTTCTAGAATGATCTCCTTGCTTTCTAGATGGAAAACTGAGGCCCATCAAGACTTGCTGACTTACTACTGGCAGGGAAGGAAATCATCTTATTATTTCACAAAGAAATTAAATTCCTGAAAGGACTTATTTATCTTGCCTTATGTGACACAGGAGGATACTTCTTTCTGGTTATTGCTTTCTTACTTACACTCTGGAGTTCATTGTTTTGATCACATTACATATGCATTTTTTGCACTTCTCTGGATTTATGCTCAAAATAAGGAAATATATAAAATTTTTATGCAACCTATTTCTAGTTCTAATATAACATGTACTTAAATCAGAGATTCTGCCTTGATAAAGGTGCTTGCTTGCCTGGTCTCATGGTAGAAATACACAAGTAGATGAACACACTCATTTTCATGTACAAGTGACATAGTAATACAGCCCACACACAAACAGGACAACAGTAAATAGAAATGTAGATTCTACAGTGAGGCAAGCGCAAGGAAAAACTCACATAGCTCTATGCTTATTAATGTTCCTCTTAATGTCAGCTTCCCTTTCCCCCTGAATCTTTCATGGGAGTAACTATGAGAAAGACCAATCTGTTAAAAAATAACAACTGGGAAATCCCTAATGAAAGGAATAGAACAAAACCCAACTTCCGAAGGTATGTTTTTCCTCCACTTACCTTATGTAACATGCTTTACTATTTATGTTAAACACCCAAAATAAAGTGGGGAACCAGCTGCATTTGCTTCGAGCATTGCTATTTCAGTTAGGTAGATGGAGAATTCTGCCAACATACTCTCTGGTCATCAATCTGAGGTAAAGCCTTCCTTTTTTCCTAAAGTGAAAATTAAATGCCATTCTGCCTTGTAAAGTGAGCTGGCTTGGTCCTTTTTATTTTTACCAGCTTTCTTGGTTGGCCATGAACTACATACATAACACTAGCAATGGCTTACATGGTAAGCATCCAATTCATATTAATAATTTTGAATTTACAAAAACTGAAGACTCTTTCCTGAAACCATGTCTCCCCTCTTCTTCCTACCAGCGTGTTTTTTAAAAATAAACTTATGGCGAGACTTATGCGCATGCCCCTCACCCATGTCCTCACTGCCTGTAACTCCCCCTCAGAGACGACCAGCGTGGCTTCTCCCCCATTAGTTCATTCCTGCTCTCACCGAGGGGCCCGATGATCTGCCTGCCACTTCTCAGGAGACAGTTTTGGTCCTAATTTTCCATGAGTTTTCTACCTTTTCTTGGCATAACATCCTCCCTGTTTTTTTCTCAACTAACTTAAGAAAATTGTCAAGTGTCTGTTGGGATCTGCTTCTAAGCATCAGGCACTACAACATTTGGAGTTAGAAAATGGAAAAGGACCCAGGGGAGAAGCAACAGGTGGGAAAGCAGGAGACAATGAGGTCCCAAAGGCCAGGCCAGACACCACAGTCCCCAGCTGCTCAAGCCCAGATGACAGCCCTCGTTCCTCCCCTTCAGCAAGCCACCGGGATGACCCGTTCCAGACCCCCGAGATCTCTCAGACACTTCCACTTCAATGCATCTCTTCCACAACTTAGTTACCTGTCTTCTGCATCATTGACAATAACTTCAAAATTAGCCTTTCTGCTTCTAGTAATTTCCTTCTCTAATACTTTCTTCCTATTCTAACAAGAATGATTTTTAGAGCACAAATTTAATCATGTTGCTTTGCTGCTTTCCCATTATTATTCTAAGGATGCTGGGTAATTAGTGAAGCATCTGAATCTCATACACGACAAAGACCTTTCATCGTTTGGCCTTTGTGCACCTCTAGAGGCACATCTCTTGCCTCTTCTCAACACTGCGCTCAAATCACATTTGGTAACTTTTGTGCGGTTCATGCATCCAGGGGCTTTCTCCTCTGGGCCTTTTTGGTCCTCTCTTTTCTCCGTCCCCACCCCAACACCTAACCACTGCTCAGCCTTTAAGCTGCACAATAGCTGCCACGCTGCCTCCTTCCCCTCCAAGGCCAGGAGAGATGCCCCTTTCATGCATCCCCACAGCACACTGGACTCATCCTTCCCGTGCCTCTAACCCAGCTGTGTTGCTGCAATTACTTCCTCACCGGTATTTGCCACTCTAACGTCAGCATCTGGGCTTCACTGGCCTTTCTATCTCCAGACTAAAATAGTCTCTCAAGTACAAGAGGCACATAATACATATTTATTAAACAAATGTATCATTGATAATTATGATACCAAATTTGTAGAGGAGCCAGTAAATATCAAGACCTGGTTGATGAGAGCCACGTGAAACTATTTCCATGACTGCACCAATAAGAAATTCACAGTAGACATCAAAGTAGCTTTCAAAGGACCTAACTAGTCGATAGCGATAGGGTGTTGCTGACAGGTTTCAAGTCGGCAAACCTGGATTCAGTCAGGTTTGAAGCAGGAGAGGGACACGACGAAACATGATCTGCAGAGAGAGCGATCTGACAACAGGAGAGAAGCCTGTAGGAATGTACTCAGGAGGAAGTCCTGGCACCTTGTCTTGATTAAGCTGGAAACACCCATGCGGTGCACTTAGCTCGCCCTGAGGGGTGCGGGAGGCTCTGCCCCATTCAACCATGAGTAGTGGATCCCTGGGAATATGTTTGTACACTTGGCATCAAATACAGCCTTGGATATGGAATAATCTCAATTTAAAAAATAAAAACAAAACAGAAAGAATATATAAAAAGCTTGTTTCCAAGCTAGGACATCTAATGTTAGCTAATTTGTTAAAAAAAAATATGAGCTGTTAGTACAAACAAAAATAAAAATAAATACCAGGCCTGTATGACTGACTGAGTAGTAAGCTCATATAAATTTTAGAAACTAATTCAAAGTATGTGTCCTCCTAACCTTGACTCAATGGTATCAGCTTCCTGCATGAAGTGTAAGGCCCAGTTTATTTCCTTTTGGCCCATTTAAACAACATGCCCTTCCAGGGCAAGGTCTCACTCCTGAATCTTCAAATACAAATATTTCCGAGGTCAAAGCACTGTCAGAATGCCTCACCTGAGAGAGTTTTGTTGTAGTGGCAGGCAGAAGTGGGCGACTGAACTTCTTCTGAGACCCGATGGCTGCTGGGAACGGCGGTGCAGAAAACACAGCTGCCACGCAGTTGATCTTGCTTATCCACCCCTGCATCTCCTCCGGACTCCTAGGGAAACAACGTGCCGACGTCAGGGCGTGTCCGTATCTAAGGCCACCACACCTTGCCCCTTCCTCACTGCTGACTTCAAATGGCACTAAAGTCATTTATTCAGGCTGGGAGTATCCCTTAGGGACACAGAGGGAAGAAAAAAGTGAAATCACTTGATAATAAATATTAAACTCTGCCTTCTGTTTGATACTAGGCTACATAAAAAAATTAAAAACCTAACTCATCTCCTCCAGTCCCATATCTGATTTTAAAATCCAACTGAGGGAAAAACTGACAGAGGGAATGAAAAACAGTACACCCACTTTGGAAAGCAGTTTTGAGTTTATTAAAAAGATGTCTACAAATTACCATACAACCCAGCAATTTGACTCCTAGGTACACAACCAAGAGAAATAAAAACATAGGCACAAAAAGATTTGTGTGTGAATGTTCACAGCAGCATTCTTTGTAAGAGACGTAGGAAAAACAAAACAATCCAAAGGGCCATCAACTAGTGAATGAATGAACCAAACGTGGTGCATCCACACACCCGACCACCACTCAGCGACACGGGAATGATGTGCAGCAACACGGGTGGGCCCCTACGCTTCACGCTCATGGAAGAAGCCAGACACAAAAGACCACATGCTCTACGACTGCATCAACATGAAATGTCCAGAAAAGGCAATAGAGGGAGACAGACAGGAGGTTAGTGTCTGGGGATGGGGTGGAAAATGGGGAGTGAAGGCAAAATGGGTACCGGGGGACCTCTCTGGGGTGACGGAAGTGCTCCAAAACTGAACTGTTGTGAAGGCTGCACAGTTCTGGAGATTTGTTAAAAATCACTTAAATGAACACTTAAAACAGGTGAAATTAAATGGTATATAAAGTATGTGTGTATGTACATATACATACATACATACGATGTAAAAAATCTACCTGAGAGGATGTAGAAATCATCTGATGTCATTATCACACTCTAACTTATATGTCACATACTCAGAGGGTCTAGAACTGACAGCAGTTAATGAACAGTTGTGAATTCATGAGTGGTGGAAATACTTGTGAACCAGAATAAATCATCTACCATGCATATAATCAATAAACAGAAGCTGGACAAAATGTCAGCCAATCTAAAATCATTTCCTGTGCCGACTTCTCAGAGAGAAACCACACTAACCTGAGACCACATGAGTATCATGTCCTCGTTGCACTGTGCCTCTCTAATCTGATTTTTGCTGGCTCTGTTCTTTCAATTGACTGATTTCAGCATCAGTTCTATCTGAACTAATTAGATCTCCTTAGTTATTACATCCAGAATTTTAGATTGAAAATAAAATAATGTTGGGGAATAGAATAATTTGAAGGACTTTCTTACTAATAGCTTTAATTATACATCTGGCTCTGGTTTCCTTCGTGGTGGTAAAACTGTCTTATTCCCACACTACACAAATCCCACGTAGCTCATATTTCCTTACGACTTCCTCCTCTCTGGATGTCCATACTTTTATACCTTTGCAAGTTCAGCATCCACAACTCATCAGAGTACCTATTCTTCTTCTTATTTCTTTTTTGGATCTTACATTGTTTTGGTCAACAAGCATGGAGATACTTGTGTTCACTATTTTGACAGCCAATTTTAACCCCAGTGCCAAATGCGGTCCATTGATAGTACTGGACTGAGAGTGACTCCGAAGTCAAGTCCAGGATGTGCACGGTATGCTGTGAATAGGTAACACTGTCCACCACGAACACTGATGCTATGCATGGTCCTGTGAAAAATTCCTGTTCTAGAGGCTCAGTTCTGAAAACCTAATTTCCTACTTCACAAATCCAGAATTCTCCATGTGGAATGTTCTACCTCTAGTCCAACAGCTGTCGTGGACCCCTTATTAAAAGTGCACTCCATCCTATTTCCTTATCCACAATATGACTTTATCTTTTCCTCCTAGTTTAATCACAAGTTAGAACTCAGAAGGAGAGAAGAGAGAGAGAATGAATGGAAATCTGCACTTACAATTGAAGAGGTTCAATGTGCCAGGCACTATGTGAGCTCCTTTCTATACTTGATCTTATTCAGTTCTTACAAAAACCCTATGAGATTCACATGATTATCTACACTCGTGACAAACTGAGGTTCCAAGAGGTTAAATTACATGTTAGAACAAAGAGCTAGGAAATGGGGATTTGAACCCAGGTTTATTTCACTCGTCGTGTGTAAAGCCCTTATATTTTACCCATGAGGATATGAAGTTCCAGAGATGGTAAATGGCTGAGCAAAAGTCACAGGGCTCCTTTGCAGAAATAAGAACTTGGACCCAGGGTTTCTGCTTCTCATTCTAGTTTTCTTAGGCAGCTAGCTGTCCCCCTAATATAACCAATGACTTTGACTCCAACTCAAAACATTTCCTCTGCAGACCCTGCTTCTCTCTCTCGGAACACGGTGATGCTCTGCAACCTAAAAAACAAGAAGAAACGAAACCCACGAAACATACTGGGCTTGAAAAAGCAAGACCCTCCAGTCGGCGGTTTTCAGTTTGAGCACGTTCGGCTTCTTCTCGTAGTCCGTGGCCTTGGACGCCAGTGCGTGGTGCACGCTCACTGCGTTCTTCAAATCCTCTTCAGACAGTGACTTCTCTGGCTTATATTCATCCTGTAGGTGGACACAAAAGAAACGAAGACAAGATCGTGTTCAGATTTCACCTCTTGATTAAACATAAACATACAAGGAAAAGTTTTAGAATGTTCACGATGGCATGTGAAAAACGTGAAATGGAGGGCCAGTGAAGACAACCCTTTGCTACCTCACAAAGGTCATGAAACTTCCTGCTGCTTGGAAAGAACGCTCGGAATGAGCAAGTACACTTTACTTAAGGGGCACTTTGGAAAAAGTCGATCTATCATAATGAAGGCAAATAGCTAAAGTAGGCCAAAGATGAAATACCTGTCACTGAGGTTTCGCAGTGGTTTGAAATGAAGCTAGGCACAATGGGTGCTGTGGTTTCAGGGATAAATAGACAAACGTAAAAGCTTTCAGATGCCCATTAACAGAATTACACGAAGGGCGAAAACCAGGCCACTGTTTTCTTTGCTCTAAAGACACTACATTGTCCTGCTACTTTCTTTTGAGGCTAACATTATCAAAAGAAAAATGAACCGCAAAATGAAATGATTTCTCCAGCTGTTCTCTGAGAGGACAATCAATTTAATAATCAGGATAAAGCTTAGCTATATTATCATAAATTTGAAAAATGGGTAAGATTACATAAAAAGGAAGGTATCATAGATGTAATTTTATCTTTGGACATGATCTGTATACACAATTCATAGTATTTATAAAGGTTATTTTATATGACACCCTCTAAACATACCTTAAAAAATCCCAACCAGTAGAATAATAAAGATTTAAAACAAATTTGTTTCTACTGTTATTATTACTACTTTTATTATTATTTTAGTCAGTAGTTTTACTGGGTGGGGGTTATTATTATTATTCTATCTAGCAGTTTTCCTGGGTCCATTAGAATAAAAAAGGCCTCTGAACCCATGTAAATGTAGAAAACATTACGAACTGTTTTAAGAGCTGTTTTCTAGTGTTTAAAGTCCTCTCTTTCCCCTGAACATATTTTATCAGGTATGATGCTAAACTTGAACTTCTGTAAAGAGGACATACACGTGCATGCACACACAGAGACACATACCACACACGTGCACACACTTTATTTTCTTTCTTTTTTTAAAGATTTTATTTATTTATTTTTAGAGAGGGAAGGGAGGGAGAAAGAGAGAGAGAGAGAGAGAGAAACATCAATGTGCGGTTGCTGGGGGCCGTGGCCTGCAACCCAGGCATGTGTCCTGACTGGGATTGAACCTGCGATGCTTTGGTTCGCAGCCCACACTCAATCCACTGAGCTATGCCAACCAGGGCTATTTTCTAGTTAGTAGTAAAAGGCTAAGGGAAGACATTGCCTATTACTACAGGATAGTTTTATAAATTTGCAAAAAAACCTGCAATTAGACTCTCCCATACCTCTCCCTCTCCCCCATCCTCTCCACAGGGCAAGCAGCAATTCTAGTGTCCTACTGCCTCCACTTCAAACTGAGTCAGAAACAAGCAGCAGCTGTCCATCCTTAACGAGCACCACCACGACAGCGCTAAGAGACAAAGGTGGGGATGCTCTAAAACTCACAGGAAGCACCAACTGCAATATAAAAAGTGCTTACATTTATTACATTAAATGATGAAATTTCTATTTTAAGATGGCAACAAGTCTATTCTATAAGCCTACAGATAAAGAACTGCTGTTGACAATAACAACTTTCTAGAGACATATGATGAATAAAGGAGAATAAAAAGAAATCTTAAAAAATAAAATATAATGTATTTCCATGTATCTGTTCTTCTGTGATTACCTTTAATGCATACAACTATAATCTACTTATGTTTTGGGGTTTTGTCTTTTCCAAGTGAGATTTTTATTAGTGACTTAGCATTCCACAGATTCACAAACCTCCGTCCAGGGAATAGTTTTAGAGTATGGGTACCTACTAGAGGTAGTGTGACTACGAAACCCCTCCAGCCTTACGATTAAGCTGTAACAGGACCCTGCTGAGCTGGTCCCCACTCAACCACTTGATTCCAGACAGGAATCTGAGGAGAAATGACTTGGGCCGAAACTGTCTTCACAGAATTGGCAGGCCACGTCCACTTCCACCCATGCGGATCTCTGACGCACCTGATCTGTGAGTCTGCACACAGGCCAGCCCAGAAATTTTGAATGCACCATTTTTGATGTTCTAGGTTCATAATTTGGGCTTTTATCTTAATTCCTTCTCATTAGCTTCTTTTCGTTAATTTCTATTGTGGTTTGAACTTAAGATGATCACTTAGTTCTTTTGCTTTTCATATTTCTTCTTTAAAATTTAAGGCTATAATTTTTTTTTCTCTGAGTACAGTTTACATGTAGTTTGAAAATGAAGAGTACGTTTTTATTATTCTCCATTTATGTTGTAGTTTTATCTTTTCTTTGATCTTAGTTATGCTAAAGAATGTGTTTCTCAAATTTAAAGTACCTGAAGTTTTAGTTACATATCATTATGTATTTCTAATTGTACTGGCTTGTGACCAGAAAATGTGGTCTGTAAATCTATTTCATTACCTTGAAATTGTTAAGGTTAATTTGTGAAGGCTTTCTAGCTACATTTTTTATTTTTGTTAATGTTCCACAAACATACAAAATAAGTTTATTCTTTGAGGGATCGTTATATTCAAGTTTATTGATTCGATTCCTCTGTTACATTAATTTTTTCTATTGCTTCAACCTCTTGAGACAAATATTGGTGTATATAAGCTCTTTCTTCTGCTATATCATATTTTATATGCGTTTCTAATAGTTTTAGAAATCCCTTGCATTTCTAATAGTCTTGTTTTACATTTTAGTTGCTATGTTGTTTGTATATTTAGGTTTATGACTGTTATCTCCCTTATAACTATGTGCTAGTTATTATTTTAAAATGTTCTCACTCATTTGGTGCCCAGTTCACAAGATGGAAACTTCAAAGGTTCCTTCCCATCAAGGCTCTCCACTGCCTGTCTACATCAGCAAGTTAAAGCTTTTAGAGTGATTTTGATTCCCTCCTGCCCCGTCCCATTAATCCTAAATTTTGCTGAAATAGTTCAGAATGTTTTATTCTGGAACCTTATTAAAATTATCTTATGAATTTCCTACTGGAAGAAAGCTTATTTTGCAGTTACATTACACATTAGGTTTAATTGTGTCCATGTTCCACTGCTCGCCTACTCTCTCTCTTTTCTCCATCCTGAGGTCTCTGTTGGTTGCATCCCTTCCCACTTGCCGGTCTGCAGGTGCTATTCCACTCTCTCCTACCTTCCAGTTTTCTTATATTTTCTGTTAAGAATCTCATAGGGGTTTCTTTTTATCTTTAGAACGCAGGAATTTTTGCTAGGCAATGCCTTAATATTCTCATCCATCCAGTCTGGAACTAAAAAATTTCCACCCTAACTCCCTCTTATATAGTCATTTCTTGGGCTGCTCACTGCTGCCAGACATAACCCGGTCGTGCAGACAGGTGCCCACACAGATTTGTGGTCTCCAGCTACGGTTGCACCCAGGGCCAACCCACCATGCTTTCGCCATCCACAATAATGTTTCTGTTCCATTCGACCAAGTGCCCACCATTCTCGTCAACCCCCCTAACTTCCCACAACTGTGGTTAAGAACATTGGTGCTTGGAATTAGAACCATCTAGCTTCACATGACTAGTTCTGATGTGATACTTAAGGTTTCTATGGCCTTAGACTGGTTAATTAAGCTCAGTAAGCCTTACTTTCCTTGATTAAGTTGTGATAATGCCTTCCTCATAGAGTTGTAGGATGAAATTAAACAAGATACTGTTTTTCTAAACCCAATGTTTCATAGCATATAGTAAGCACTCAAATGCCAGGTGGTATAATGTTTAGTAACAATTTCTTAGTAGCATATAGCTTGACCTAGTATTTTATAAGGTTAATCTTGTATAAATATCAAACTTTCTGCTCAAGTAACCTATAAACACCTGTATTTTGTGACCACCTTTATCTTTTCTCCTTCTGAAATGGTGAAATCCTGATCAAGGCTAATCCTGGGCTCTCAAATCTACCCCCATCAACCTTTCCTAGGATTTTATTTCATTGGTTATTATATTTCTTCTACATTTTAAATTTTTTTCTACCTAATGGCTTTCCCTCTAAAGCCTATAAATACACTCAAGGTCTCACTTATCTCCGAAACCTGATGGCCCCTCCTGAGCACTGCCTTCCCCTCTAGCTGCCACCGCTCTCTGTGCCTTTGTGCAGGACGAGTTAGTAGTGCACGTCAGCTGTCTTCATCCACTAATTGCCAGTTTACTCTTTAACCCACTGAGACCTGGGGTCCATGTCTGCACTTCACTGAAACTGCTCTGGTAAAGGTCAGCAGGGGCCCCCTAATGACAAAACTCAACAGATTTTTTTAGTTCTCATCTCACAGCACCTGAGTCAACGATATTCTTGAAATTCTTTTTAGCTTGTTGTTACAATAATTTCCAGGTTTCTCTCCTACCTCTCCTGACCATGACTTCGCTATCTCCTCTTTAGCCTATCCTTCAGATGTCAGTTCTGCCATTGGCCTTCGTCCCTTCTCATTCTGCAAGTTCCCCTTGGAATGATGACAACTACTGTCATTAAACTCCTGCACAGGTCCTGAGTCTAACACACGGGCACAGGTGAGGAAGAAAAACACAGCCAAGTGAGAACTGTTAATAATACTGGATGACCTAGACCTTCATACTTGGAGTATAAGCACTCTGCTGATATTTTCATTCAAAATCAAGCTTAAAGGATGATCTTCTCAGACTTCTCCACAAGTGCAAAGCATTTTAAAACGCAACGTTTACTACAGCCCTGAGTAAAAGCTGACTAACTTGTCGACTTGGAAGAACTGTGCCATTGCTTTGGACGCCAAGATACTGAACTGTAAGATACTGACAGCCTACCTGCACTGGAAGGAAAATACTGCAAGGACAGAAAAGGAAGGCAGATGCCATCTAATTAGGATGAAACCAAAGTCCAGGAATTTTAAGTTTAACAAGCTTCTGCTTTTCTGGTTGCCAATG